TTTTATTCATCTGGAGAGTTGAATCGGACGTTTTTTTCGAATGTCCAATTTTTTGAAATTCCGCAACCCTCAGATTCCTTTTCCAGTCTCTCCCCAAACATTTCGCCGACCACTCCGACCACCGTTCACGGCCGTTCCAGGCACAAGGTTGTCCAGGGACGGCCGGGAAAATCAACATTTACTCCCAAGAATTGTATGCTAAATTTCTATTTCCTGGCCGTTCCCCGGCTTGTCGTGCTTCAAGTACTGAATTAGTTGTAAAATGTCCAGTATTCTGAAAATTATAGTGATTTTGTATTGTGAAGGATGTAAACAGGATGAAAATCCGACCATCTCAACGCATGCAATAGCGATGCTTAGTCTTGACAACATTGAGAATGTGGCGAAGCTTAGCAAGGGAGCATTGTAGTCAAGATTGGGAATCTTGATACCTGTATAAGATACTTTGGATACGTTAGCCGTTGGGGTGCAGACGTTCAGTAACGGCTATCATCTGATGGACATACAGACGACTTTCGACTCTCCCTCTCATCCGAAACTTCAACACACAAAAAAAACGTCATCACTGGAATTTGCGAAACAAATAGATCTGTAAAGATGTTATAGAAGAAGAAAAAATACACCAGGAACAAAACAACACGCAAACAAGCAGAACCAGCCAATCTGCATGCGTAGCGCTAGTACTGGTTTTACGTAGGAAAAAAATTGAAAGTATCAACATCAAATGAAAAAACACTGGCAAAACATGGGCAAATCTCCAGCTCCGCAGGCCGCCTCAGCTAATACAACAAAGCTGGGCGTGGTAAAGTCAAAAGCCTATTCTGTTGGGAAAAAATTGGTGAAAAAACGACTGGGAATTGATTTGGAACAGCCTAAAGACAGAGGCCCTGTCCATTCCTCCAATGTCAATCTCAAGAGACTTGCCAACAAACAAGGAGCGCCACAAATGGGTGACAAAATGGAAGCACAACAAATTGCTGCGCGCCAAGATACTTGCCATATCGATCATTACAATACAGTGGTGCCCAAACTCTCTGAGTGGCGGTTAGAACAATTATATTCAGGAGATGTGGCAGTTCAATTGTTGACAAGGTTGGATTGCATTCAAACGGGCAACGCTTTATTTTCATGGGCAGAACGGTGTCCAGACTCTCAGAATCAACCATGTCTTTGATACATTGCCCTGTTAGACAACTACACCGGCACATTGACATGCAACAATAGATTTGTTCGGATTGTCAATTACAACAATCGATTCATGGTTGATGGTGTCAGTAAATCCTCTCAGTCCGCCCGCGGAGCTCCTAGCTCCGCGGAAGGGCCATGAGAGGCCCCAGGTCGTCTGCCGCTAGGTCACGGCGTGCAGGCAGAAGATCTTGAATTAGTGGCCCGTCAAGTGTTGTTTCCCACGCTTCACTTGACGAATATTTACGCTCTCTTCCACCAGGAGACTGCCTTGGCGACGACCATCGTTGTCGCTCTTCACTAGCTACTCGCGTCACCTTCCAGAACGTTAACGGTGTTCCAGAAGAAGGTGATCATGTGAAACAGCGGCAGATCAACTCCTGGCTGCAAGATGAGCGAGTGGGAATAGCGTTATTGGCGGAGGCCAAAACATTTTGGCCCTCTATCCCAGAGGGTCATAGGTGGAATGATAGGATGCGGCAAGCAACGGTGAAGGCAAAGCACAAAGGTTTTTATTCGGCTGTCGCTTATAATAAACGTCAGTCACGATCGTTGGCAACTACAGCTTTTCAATGGGGCGGATGCATAGCGACAGTACTTAGTCAGGTCTCGCACCGAGCTAAAGAATCAGGGAGCGATTCGACGGGGCTGGGACGGTGGGCTTATGTTCGTCTTCAAGGAAAAAAGCTGAAGGCGCAGGGGGGTGATGATCCCTCCGGCTTGGTGCTAGACGTAAACGAGGCGGTCCGACGCCCGATTTCACGTTCTAGTGGTTGTCTCGGCATATAGGCCAAACAGAGAAGGTACGGGGGAATCGACCGTGTGGGCCCAACAACGTCTATACTTTAACTCTATAAAACATAAGATTGATCCGCGCAAAGCATTGGTCGATGACCTGTGCAAGCAAATTCAAAAATGGAGGGACGAGGGTTGTGAAGTTTTGCTGGGGATTGATGCTAACGAAGACCTTTCGGTCAACTCCCCGGACTCCATACGACAGCGGTTTCGTGAGTGCGGAATGGAGGAAGCGATTTTGAAACGGAATCCCCCCACGGCGACCCACCAACGAAATCAAAGCAACGTTCCCATCGACGGAATCTTTACCACTTCAGGTGTTCCGGTTCTGGCTGGTGGCTACTACGCATTTGGTGAATTTGTTGAAGCAGACCA